AGGATGGAAATTACATCAGAATACATTCTATTCCTTGATTCAATGTTTTAGCATCTGTTATGCAATTAAATGTTACAAAGCAGAAATCGTGAAGTGCGCTAACACGATATGAAGATTCAGTGTCATCATCTTGGACATATCGTATTACTATATTTCGAGGAATGCAAGCTACTACACCATGTCAATCTTTTGCAAAATAACTAACATAACAACAAACACGGTAGCAGAGAAGTAACACAGTAGATATTCAAATAACATATAAGTTTATCACTGACGGCGTTTAATAAGTGATGCACATTACTCAAACAACAATACAACTTATAAATATCGCAATAGAGATAAGATGTATGCGCCTTTATTGATACCACTGCTGATATCAATACCGATACCAATATTGTTACCGATATTAATATCGATACTAATATTGATACTAATCAATATCGATACACATACTAATACTAATATTCATATTAATACTAATACTAATATTAATATTAATACTAATACTGATACCAACACTAATACTAATACTAATACTAATACTAATACTAATACTAATATTAATACTAACACTAACACTAACACTAACACTAACACTAACACTAACACTAACACTAACACTAACACTATGGCTAACACTAACACTAACACTAACACTAACACTAACACTAACACTAACACTAACACTAATACTAACACTAAGACTAATACTAATACTAATACTAATACTAATACTAATACTAATACTAATACTAATACTAATACTAATACTAATACTAATACTACTACTAATACTACTACTAATACTGACAGTAATACTAATACTGACACTAATACTAATACTAATATTAATACTAATACTAATACACATATTAATTCTATTACTAACACTAATATGTTAATATTGTTAGTGTTAATGCTAATTTACGTGTACTAATGGTAATACTAATTTTTATGTTAATACTAATCGGGATGTACTAATGCTAATTATAATTGTAATTGTAATAATTAATATCCAAATCCGTTGTCATATTCCTAATCCTATTCATAACACTCATCATGATTCTAATCATAATCATAATCCTAATCCTAATACTAATCATAATTATAATCCTAATCCTAATAAATTTAATACTAATAATGCTAATGCTAATGCTAATGTTAATTCTAATTCTAATTCTAATCTTAATTCTAATAATAATCCTAATCCAAATACTAATCATAATCCTAATACTAATACATGTCACTAATTGTAGTACTAATCATAATCATAATCTTAATATTAATTCTAATATTAATATTAATCATAGTCATAATCCTAATCCTATTATTAATTCTAATATTATATTAATTTGATTCCTAATCCTGGTTTTAATACTACTACTAATTCAAAGAATATTAATTATAATCATAATTCTAATGCTAATACTAATCACAATCCTAATTCTAATTTTAAATCAATGTTTTTTGTAATGATCTATTATTTTGTATCAAAAAGAATTATATCAATCTCACAACCTTTATATCAACTTATATATATGTGGTAGCTGAAGCATCAAAAAAAACATATTAAATATATTAGAAATTAATATTTAATTATATTATCAAACTGACATTAAAATTAATTAAAATATTATAAGTGTATAAGCATACGT